CTTCACTGAGTTACGCAAGCCCCTTCGCCACGACAAGGCAGTGATCCATGAAGGGGAAATGTACTCTGGGCTTTTACATTAACATACAGAAATTACGCAAAGAGAAAGAGTTGACTAGGTGAGGTTCAGGAAATCACTGAGGAAGATGGGAACCTGAATGGAAGGCAGATGACAGTCTGTGTGGGAGTTAGTGAAGGAAGAGAATCTGTTATATGCCTCTTTAGCTTCCCTTATCATACACTGATAATTCATGAGCACTGAGTTAAATTTGTTAACTTCTATAATGGGTAGCTTCCTTTATGATGCACTGAAACCTTATGAAAAATATATCTATTTCATTTGAAAGTAGCCATTCCTAACCACTGCTTAAATATTTGACATTACTCCATCCGTTAAAACAGTTTGAGTCTGAATTTGATTGTGCATATATTTATTTTATTATTTATTTATTTATTATTAAATTTGTATGCCGCCCATCTCCCCCAACGGGTGACTCTCGGCGGCTCATATAGTCATTTGCAGGGGATTGTGCCTAGAAAGATGAGTTAAGTCCAAGAGCTGGAGAAGGAAAAGGACCTACCGAATAGCAGTAAACACAGGCAAAGAGAAATATTATACTGGAGACTGGGTTAGAACTTGGATGGAATAAACAGATTCTATTCATTATTGTTCCTGCTTATCCACTGTCCTACAATTATTCCTTAGAATTCAAGGTGGTAAAGCAATTATGACTGCACCACAACAAACAAACAAATCTCTGCTATGAGCTGTTAATGATTTCACCTCTGAATTCAGTGGGACTTCTTCCCAAGTGAGGATCAGAACAAATTCAGTGGTATTCATGAAGCAAATGTAGGCCATTATGGGAGCTCTTTCTTAATACACAATGTTCTACAAAGCAAAATACCTTTTTGTCAGAAGAATGGTCCAGAGGAAAAAAAAATTAAGGAGCCCACTACGAAGTATGTATATATTAATTATTAATTATTATACTAAAAACATATATGGAACATATAAATGCCTACTCTTCAATGCCTCCAGGAAATAGTTTTTTAAAAAAAAAAATCCACTGAAGGACATAGGCTAGTTATTTTCAATTAGTCTACATACTAAGTTTAGCATGTTTCACTATCTCTAGAAACATGCTAAACTCAACAAATGGAATATATCTACTCAGCTCAGTGGCATCAGCATTCTTTATACTATCATGCCTGATTGTTACTATTGCCACTTCTGTTTCAACTACAGATTTCATTGATTTCTCTTCTCAATTGTGAGCAACGAAACATAACTTAATACACTCAGTGATGTGTGTCAACATTTCACAAATTAGAATGTCTACTAATTTCGTAGTGCAGAAATCAGTATTTGCTAATGATGCATCAAAGCTCTAGCTTTAAAAGTAAATTAAGTGCTCATTGTCTCAACAATAAATATTGGTCCTGATCCCATGCTGAATTTCTCTGTCTTGAATGACTAGGCCATATTATACCAGTACTTGTGTATTCATGCCCTTATTTAACCTAACCAAACCAACCCATAAACAGAGATTTGGGTGAAAACACTGGCTTCTGTAATGATCAAAACCTGCATTTTCTCCCCATCTAAATTATAATGTGCCTGAAGTGGAACAGAACAATACAGAGTTCAAGTTGTTGTATTCAGCGTGAACCTTCTATGATTACATACCTGCAGGGAATCAAAATCTTTAGAAGCACAGGCTCCAAGAATAGCAGCGCCCATTAGCACAGACTCCATTTCTAGGGCCAGAACAACAGGCATGCCTGGACAAAGACAATGTATCAGTTAAAAGGCCTGAAGTATGAAGCATGTATGAAACACCTCTCCCTGAAGTATTAAAACAGTTACATCTTTTTCCAGGCATATATGGCTTCTTAGTATGATCTCAGTGTTCTCTAAGCATTAAGTGCACAGCCAAATTGCATATGGAAACAGCCAGAAGCAGCGTTAGAAATCTGTAGCAGTGATGCATGATGAAATCAGTAGTTCTCCATGGTAAAAATATTTTGACAAATACAATTGTTTAAACTTTTGGAGGAACTAAATTAAAAACTGACTTTATAGCTGTCATGGTTTAAATGTATTTTTAACTTGTTGCTTGTGTTCCACATTGTAAGTGCCTTCACAATGAATGTATTCATCTTACCCTCTGAACAATATGAATCTGAGGCTTTTAAATGGTCTATGAAATTATCTATTGGTAGCCTGTATAATTGGCTAATGGGTACTTGCATTTAACAGTAATATATTCAGTATTTCCCTGTCTTTTCCTGGAAGAATAGGGGATTGATACAGGAATGTTAGCTATTTTATCAGATAGATTTTAATGAGGGCAAGAGAACCAAGAGCATTTTAGTCAGATGAACTCTGACATCCTCTGTCAGTCACAGTTCCTACAATCAGGAAAAATTCCAAAGCTGCAAAAAGGCCTCTTTGTCCTATATTCTGCTTGGCTATTAGATACAGTCAAAGGACCCCAGTTTAAAATTTAATCAGAATTATCTATTAATAGATCTTTAATTTTAGACATCAGAAAGCAGCTCTCAATTCCAAGGCTATTTGAATTAGATAAGGAAAAAGGTGTGCACTTGATAAAATCATGTTGGACAAACAGAAAAGACCACTATGGCAACAGCCTGTTGTGCATATTTAGCCCAGGTCAAGACCTTGTATCATTTGGTTCACTTTTTCTGCTTTCAAGAAATGTAATTACTTAATGCTGATTTTAATCTCAATTCCTGGTTTGATGTTAAAGTGATGCAAATCTAAAAGCAAAATAGCCAGAATCCAAGCTTTAGACTTGATCTAAACCATATTGGTTCTTCTTAAGTATAAAGGATCCATATGGTTCATGGTTTTGCCTTTAATCTCAAGCCTTTAGAACTGTACAAATATGTTTTCCACAGGTTAAATACATATTATTTTTAACTACTTAATATAGGTCCAAAAATACTCATGCATAAATAACAGGTAAATTAGGATCTGCTGTTATAGACATATGATTTGCTATAAATGTTATTGACATTTTGACTAGAAAAATGCATCTCCTGGCATGGTGATTTGTTTAATATCTTCTTCTGATTAAAATGTGCCAATTTTGTGTATCAGATCTTTCAGATTTGATAAATGGCAAATACTAGCACAGCACTGAATACTATGAATTAAATGCAACTCTGTGCCTACTTAATCGACACATTAAATCCTACAACACATGGTTTACATGATTCAATTACTTGACAGATTAAAATTACTCATTTATTTTCAACCAAATATATGAAATAATCCATCAGAAAAATACTCACAACTGTTATTTCTGGGCAGCACCTGCTTATTTCAAGACGGTGTGTGCTGTGAAACATTTCAGTTCCTTGTATTTACTTATCTTCAATAGGAAGATTGGAATCTGTCTTTGATTGAGTCAGACCACTAGTACATCAATTTCAGTACTGTTTACAATTATTGCCATGCCTATCAGAACTATCTAAAGAGAAGTTCCAGAAGATTCACTATGTAAAACATAGGCTTTGCTATTGTATTTTAGCCCTTCTCACATTTTCTGAAAATTGAATGCAACAGTGTTCCTTCTTTTCATTGAAAAGGTTTTGATCTACCCTTATTACATCTAGCTGTGATTCAGCTTAATGATTCTAACTTTTCCAATGAAACACTGAGTTACTATTAATATTAACCAGGGAAGGTAAAATGTACACATTAATGGCAAAATCCCAATATCTTAAAAAGATTAAGATATGACTAGTTTGCTGTCTCTGCCGGTTATTTTGATGATCTACCAACAATATTCACCCATCTTTCAGCAATTTCTTTAGCCAAGGAACAGGAATGCTACACAGTATACCACTGACTTCCTTTACTGTATTCTCAAACTTACCAATGATGTCTGCATGCATTTGGACAAAGAGAGGGTTCTTGCTCAGACCACCACACATAAACAGAGTGTTGATATGATGCCCTGCGACTTGCATTGTTTCTACAATATGTCTGGTTCCCAACTTAAATGCAACAGAACATAAAGAAATATCTGTTAACAAAAAATGCTACAGCTACAATGGATCTTTGAAATGCTGAGAAGTCATGGTTATTTACATTGATAAGAAAGAGGAGTTTAGAAAAGGCCATGACACCTGAGAAACAATGCCTATAATGTTGCATTTGTAAGTTTTCTGTTTTTAACATTAAATTGTTCATCTACGCATGCTCCCAGATTAATTGTGCAACAGACATTAGGTTTTAAGAGAAACATACACAAATATTCTCTTCCTCATGCCACAAATTAGTTGAAGAAATGCAACTGTTACACATAAGGCAATCATACTTCTCTTCACTCTTACATATCCAGGTTAATATCTTTTTGTTTAGAAACAAATTCAGTCATAACAGCTCTGATCAAGAGCACTTTCTTTCAACTCTAACCTTTGATTTACCCTCTGTAAAAGTAAAATAAAATAAAAACAATAGAAATAAACATTTAAATGGTTTTAGAGGATTTTTGTTTCACATTTCCAGATCATGCAGACAAACCCTTTGAACACTAACTGTATATTTAAAATTGGTTTTTGGATTTCAACTGAAAAAAAAATAAAAACCTCAAAAGTAACATTACTGCCAAATCTATCCTTTGCCAAACTCATAATGCTAAAGAATTCCCTCAACATTTAACACTGAACATCTTCTGAAACATGGCCAAAGTTCATTGCAAGATTTACAATCCATTGCAAATACCCATACAGACTCTGCCAGGATATTTAAGAAAAGCAAAGTTAAGCTTCAGTTATTTATTTCATCCTGATTGAGTTTCATATGTATTTTGATTTAAGATAGGGTTAGTTTTGGCAAACTCTTAACAGTAGCAAAGGCATCTAATGAAAGGCGCAATACAATTAATGACACACAATACATTAATCAGCTATATTAGATGTGGGTGATGGGAAATGTAATCCAACTGTTCTGGAGATCATCAGACTATTCTATGGCCCTTACTTTCATTATTAAAGAACGGTTATTCTTTTTTAAAAATTGAATCTTGCCTTGAAACTACGAATGGATTTGATCTTAACTAGTGCAATTTTATCACTTGAGAGCACTATGGATATTTTTCAGAATTCCCACAACCCACATTTATCTGGAACATTCACTGAAGTTAATAGTTACAATCTCTCCACACACACAAAAATAACCCTTTCTCCATCTCAAATTTAGTTACTCTGTTTCATTTCTCTGGAGTATGACACCACTAAAATTATCCTTATATTTATCTGAAAAAAAATCACAGCACAGTTTAGGATGGAACTAACTCATTTTTTGAGTTAACATTAATATAATTAATATAGATTAATTACCTTATACATTAATATAAGGTAAACTATGCAAACTGAAAGACATCACATGCAAATGCCATTTTCCTGCAAATTAAATTTTGAAATTTAACTGGTATTTAATACTTGTGAACAACATGTAACTTGAGGTTGTATATAATTATAAACTAATATATTATGACTGTGGTATTTTGACTCCTATAAAATAGTAACTAATTTCCAAGCAAGAAAGTTATACTTCCAAAATAACCTTAAACATTAAAAGTATTATTTTTTGAATGTAATAGAAAATAGCAGGCTGTGATCTACTAGTTTTTTCTATTGTTTTAATTGCTACAGTACTGACATAAGAACCAGCTCTAAACGTCAGTGAGTACAAACATATGCATGCAACCGCCCCCCCCCCCATTATTGTACATTATATTATATATACTTCACTAGAATATAACACAGGAGGGACCAGCAATAGTTTAATTTCAAAACACAATAGAGTCTAGTATAAAGAAACTCTTGGATAATAATAGATGGTTTTCCCAGGATATCCAACTGAGAAAACTTCCACCTCATTAGCATAAAATAATGCCATGGTGCTTGTATGGCAAAGAAGCTTTGTAATCTTTCAAAAGATAATATTAGTAGTTCTCATTTTCCAAGAAATGACTTGCATTTTTTATTTAAATAAAAAAGGGTGGAACATCACTGTTACACTATCAAAGAAGAGTAATAATTATACTAGCAGTAACACATTCTAGCAATATATAAAATAATCCTGTTTGTGTCAGGGAAAGTGTTAAAACTGTACAAATGGAGTTCAGGAAATTGCCCTCGCTGCTAAACTGGGCAGAGTAATATCACGAAACACTTTGTATTTGCCCCCTCTCTAGCAAAGAATAGAAGCCATTTGATTATGATGAACAAAAGAATTGCAGTTCCATAGCAGATTTTGTACATATTTGCAAGTTGTATCAATTATACACATCCACATAGGAGGAAGAGGAGGCAAATGATATTGGCATTGTGACTGATGACAATTACATAATTCATTATGCATATCATGTTATTGTGGCTTGGAGCAGACATGTATGAGAGCAAGAGTGGAAGCACTAAATTATATTGCTGAGATAGGAATATTATTTAGAAGTTGGAATATTATAGTAACTTAAGATTGTGATCTCAGGCTTTTTTTTTTTAATTTGAAACAAACTTTCTTTTAAGCCAGGTCCAAATTGGTGTAATTTGATGTTCTAGCAAAAAGCAGATCCCACAAATCTATAGTCCACTTAATCCTTGCCATGAATCATAGCCTGGAATGTCTTTTTTTTTTTTCCAGGAAAGTTGTATAAAAATATTATCTATAACAAATACTAGAAAAGTATTGGAAGATGACAAATTTATCCCTCTCTTCCACAAAGAAAAGCAAAATCAAAGTCTAATTCATTACTACTTACTAACAGTGTGTCTCTTCACTCTCCCCTCCCATCCTGCCATTTGTTGAATGGGAAAGTGAGGTGGCCACTGAAATTATTTCAGCCATAAAGACTGAACTACTCATATGCAACAGTATCCTGAAAAGTAAGTGAAATGAGTTTCTTGTGTTTTTGGCTCCTATGATCTTGGCCTGAGGTATAAAAGCCTACTTTCCAGATGTGCGAGAAGGTTGCCTCCTAAAAATTCAAGTACAGCATATCAATCAATAGTACAAGTAGTCCACTCTCCTGCTTCTGACATAACCAAATTATCATTATGCGCCATATCTCTCAGTAGAATTAAATTTCCCTGTTGAAGAGGACAGTTTATATGGGATTAACCATAAGTAATACAGATTTGGAGAGGAGAAAATGGAGATACAAATTTAAACTGATCTGAAATTTCTCTTTTTTTGTACTTCCCTTTTTTAAAAAAGTCCATTTTACAATTGCCACGTTGCCTGCATTATTCCACAGAATAATACTAGGTTTAAGGCATTGAGGGAGATGAGGTTTAAGGCATTGAGGGAGTAGTTGCCACTACTTGCAATAACAGCAAAAAGGAAAAAGGAAAAAAACCCCAGTGCTATTGCATTACTATTAGTATGCCTACTTCCAGTGAAAGTGCTGGAGAATTTTAGATAAATTATTCCAGTCTTTCCATTCACTAACAGACTTGAGAATTTCAACAGTCATTTGCTGTAAAAATATCATCTTATTATGACCCAAAGAAGAGTGTTTTTTAAATTCTAGGGAAAATTTACGCAACTTACCGCAATGGCTTGAATTGTAGCTAGATAAATAAGAGCAAGATCATCAAGACTTTGAGATAATGTCAGTCCCACTACCTGAAGGGAACAAGAAGATTTCTATACTTATTAATTTCCTTTCCAAGAGAAGATTCTAAGTAAATTTTAGCACAGAAGTAATCTATGGAGTTCATTATCACATGGCATGGTAATAACTTCTAACTTGGATAGCTTGGATTGGATAAATTCATGGATGACAGGTCTTTAAAGAGATTCATTGTTAATTCCAGGTTGGGAAAATAATGCTTCCAAATGCCAGTTGCAAGGGAACAACACTGCGACTGGGGTATATATATAATAAATATACTGTCTTTTTCTTGAATGGGGAACTGAAAACTGAGACAGACATCAGTTTAATGTGTTTTGAAGCAAATCAGTTAACACTCTCCTTGCTTATTTCAATATAACTTCAAGCACCTATGCATTTTCCCATGAAACCAGTATAAACATAAATCAAATCAGCGGTCATCCCAAAAGCAAAAGAGTTAACGCTATCTAAAAGGTATGCCATCTTTAGGCTTCAATATGTGGAACATGAGATTGAATACAGTCTAACAAGTGAATTGATAAACATCACCTTTTTGCTATGTAATGAGAACTAGAGAGTTAGCACAACAAATTATTTGCAAACTCATGTACCATATCATACGTCTCTTCAAGTATACCCTGAGCCCAAATATGGCATTCAACTAAAGAATGTTTGGAGAGAGTGTAGTTTTTGTGGAAAGTAGTTCCAGGAGCTAGGCATTTGTGAAAGGGTAATGCCTGTGAATGGAAATGCTTGAGTGCAGAAGGAAGCTGGCAGTTGTGGTCTGGATGCAGAGAGTAGTAAGAGATACAGTGGCTCAACAGTTTCATACCAAGATTCAAGCTTTTCACCAGGATGGAATTCTTCCATCTCTTTCTCCAAGTCTTCATATGCCAAGGTTTTTCCAATGTTGTGCATAGACTTACTGTATGTACTTCCCACCCTATCTAGCCTCACGAAGCAGCCTCTTGCCCCTGCAGACATGCCATATACTTCTGTCTTTAATTGCACTTTTCCAATTATATTCAGTAGCAATTATAATAGCTTTTCAGCTGGAATTTGCTGCTTATTAAACACCTGAAAATTCCTATGAAATTGTATAAAGCTATGCAACACTAATAAAAATGCCAACAGAAGTTTTATATGTATGGGTGAAAAAACATATGTCATTATATTTTAATCATAACTGAATTACAAATAACTTTTCTTTCTTTTTTCATCTTTTTCTGTTTGGATCTTAACAATCATTTAGGGAAAACAACTCTGTAGGGTTTTAAAATGAAAAATGATGAAATATTTAAAATAAAAACACTCATTTCAAGTTCTTATTTTATGCCATTGTTCTGTTTTCACCCTTTTGCAGCAACAGTCTGTTTCTTACCATGCCCTTTAGAGTCAAATCTGCAAGGGGAGATCGGTTGCCATGGAAATCTGGCCAAACATGTAAATCAACAGTGAGGAAACCCACAGGCAAAGATTTCTTAATCAGATCCAGGTGACCATTCAAGTATGTATATATACTTTGAGCTCTGCAAGAAAAACAAGTAGAAAAAGGGAGTGAGCAGAACTGAGGGAGAAAGGTTATTCCCTGAACATATTGCATGATCTGGACCCCTAATATGAGACATATACAAAGCAGCAAAGGCTTGCAAAATGAAACTGTAAAGGAATAAGGGAAGATAATATTAATACATTAATATTTGTTGTACAGGGTATATACAGGGGTCTGGAGCAGAATTAGGACAATATTTCAATACTAGCAAGAAAGTGATTTACACTACAATCCTAAAACACAGTTTGTTCAAACCAAGACTTGTTTAGAATTACACCCTCAAATTGTAAAACATTAACTGAGGCTTACTGATCCTATTCACTGACAATTCTGCTAGAAGTTTAAGGGCTGCTAGCTTTCATGAAGAAAAGAGGTGTAGTTTGTGAGATCATAAGAGAACAAGCCGTATACATGTGATTTATATGCACAACTTTAACAGATAGATTAAATGGTGAAATACTTATGCAAGTCAGGATATTTAGCAGGCACAATGCAAATTCCACAGCCTGAACTACTGAAGGCTTGGATGCAATCCAGATAATGTGCATTGGGTTTAATTTCATTAATTTCAAGTGGAACTTAAGTGTGCTTAACTTTCTCTAGTATGCACCCAGAGGCTGAAAGCCAAAGAAAGCAAAACATCCCAAATCTCACTGAAATCAACTGGAACAGTGATCTAGCCTCATAATGCCTGTACTGACATGCCAATGGAACTTGCTATTACCACTTTATACATGTCTAAATACATTTTGAGTAGCTTTCTAATTTTTATTATTGGTTTTACCTTCTTTGATGTACCAAGGACTTTCTATTTGCCGAGAGATTGGTCAAAATAGCATCTTCATGTAATTATAACTGATTAATCAATGTCTCAGTTCTGGAGGTCTAAATAGTGATACTCATTTAGCCCCAGCATGTCTATTCAGCCATGCACTAACGAGTTCCCTGTGGGAATTTGGCATGTGTTTACTACTCTGACTTATGACCTCCTTGCAGCTGTATATTTATATTCTACATTTAAGCATTCAGCTGCACACTGTTTCAATTAGGGCTTACCATGTGTTTGCTATCGGATGGTATCATTCAAAATGAAGCACGCTTGGAACACATTAAAACAGCTAATTCACATCATTATTCATATATTTTAAAGTTTTTTTTAATTATTGTGCTATATTAATGTGACTTCTTGTGTGTGTGGGGGGGAGTAATAGTTTGAAAGTTGCTAAAATTCTTTAGTAGAATTGTTTCATTTCCATTCTTAGTATGTTGCCAGCATAACTGTTCAAAGATGAGAAGAGGAAAGATAAGGAAAAACGTGCTGTAGTTATGTAACACAAGATTTCAAACAGGGAACATGGGACATTGGAACAATTCAAATACATTTTACAAGAAGGTATGTCATTGAGTTGTAATAGTCTACAAATTCATCTGGTATGTACATTCATTAAGTATTCCAACAGTAAACATTTTCTGGAATAAGGTTTTAGCCATTTAAGTGAAATATGGTCTTGGAAACTTTGTTCAGGTCAAAACAATCCTATGTATTAGCGGAATATGCTCCAGGCAATGAGATTTGTCTAAAGAATATGCTAAACATAAAGCCACACCAGTGGTTAAGTGTTCTGTCTGATCAGTTGGCAAAGCAAATACATCCTTAAAAATACACAATAATATTTTTTACAGGATCCATCTATTTATATACATAATTATCTATCTATCTATCTATCTATCTATCTATCTATCTATCTATCTATCTATCTAATTATATATATAATTAGTCTTCAAAATATATATTA